CCCCTGGCCTCTCCTCAGCTCCCTCCTCTGCTGCTCAATCGCCAACCTAGTTGCACGCAGATTTCTTAGCGTACCTAATTGGTAATATATATTTAAAGAATAAAAAAAATCTTTGCAAAAATTGAATCTGCCACTTGCCTCTGTTTGATTAATTTGTTGTTCTTACTGATAGCGGTTTTTTTCCATATCTTCCACCTCTCCCCAATCCCGTCAGTAACCACTTTTCCCCCACAGTTGTCCAGCTCCTTAGTGGTGATTGATGTTGGTGAAAACGCCAAAAAATATTTATATACACATTAACTGATATTTACATTTGATAGACTCATCTAATCAAATGCATTCTGATGTTTTGCAATCTTTTTTATTTTTACTTTTTTTCCACTCATTTTTCTGTTTGCGAGAAGGATGGAGAGAAAAGATTTGAGAAGTGCGGGGGAAGAAGGAGGACTAAGAATGAAGGAAAAGGTGAAAAAATTTTGCAGCCAAAAACACAGATGACCGCTTGCTGGATTTTACATGAGAATGTATGTTCTTTGGTAACAATTACAGTTTACCATTCGCCGTTCCTCACTACATTTCATCTTTACGAATATCTAAAATATTTGCACAAAAAACTGCCTATACTTTTTCCTTTTGGTTGCCGTCGATATCGTACAGTTTGATTATGCAGTTAAAAAAAGTGGTCAAAATGATCAAAAACCTGTAACAGCTGTTTAGCGAAAACGCTGCTGACTGATGTACACCAAAATGGCAACAGAAAGGACAACCAAAGGAAAAGGCCGAAGATGAAAACAAATTTGGTACGTAACTGTTCAGCACTATTTGTCAAAACTAAAAAATTTAGATTGGTAGTCAAATAAAACAGAGAGTCAGTTTTTTTGGAGGCTATTAGAGAGTTTGATGGGAGGAGGTTGAGGTGGCAGGGAGTAGCGCAAGGTGTAAAATTTGAGGATAAAGCACGGACATTATTTCAGTGGATGATTTATTAATTTTACAAATCCACATAATATCCAAGAAAAGAAATAAAAAAAAGGGAAATGTTCCATTTTGGTGCTAATGTGTATAAACAAGTGTTAATGAAAAAAATGAGCTTTTGCCGTCTTTTTATCCCCTCCTCCGTATCCTATAATTCATCACTTCTCCGCCCCCTCTTTTCCTGATTTCTTCCCTTCTTCTTTTTTTCCTTTTCCGTCTCCTTTTTCTCTTTCCCTTTCGATTTTTTGTCGTTTGACCAGTAGAGCCGTTTCTTTCGGTTGTAAAAATTTTTTAACTATCACCACAATAATATATACGTCAATTTGTTTTGTCATTAAAGAATGTTTTATGAATAACTTTTGGGCTTCTTTGTTCTTCGTCTCCACGTTTTTTTGCCCTAAATTATCACCAACTACTTCTTTCTACTGTAAAACCGAAAATGCAGAAGTAGTATGCAGTTTTAATTTCCATTTCTGTTTTTTTTTATTCCTCGTATATCGCAATTTATTCCATTTTTCAATAATCACCATCACCAAACGCCGACAAATACCTCCAAATTCCAGTTGACAGCTGTGCAACCTGTATGCCGTCCGAAGGAAACCCGCCACCACAGTTTCCTCATTCCAGCTTCTCTTCAGTTTCCATTGCCAACACTATGGTAGGCGTCCTCCTCTTGCCTCCTGCACAATCTCCTTTCTTATCACAGTTTGGTAGTTCTTCCTCACCTGACTACATTCTCAGCCTCAACCAGGCAAGGGCTAACCAGGATCCCATGGCCTTATGTATCGGAATGCTAGAAGTGAGGGGAAATTCGGAAAATGTAAAAGCTGAAGAATTTAAAAGAGGGAACAGTTTGAAGTTGCTATAAATATATTTAATTGGTGTCGAGATGGCTATGGCAGCAGGAGAGAATTCGTTTTTTTTTTTTTGTCGTTTCGTACGGTTAAAAACTTTCAGTTTTATTTCAAATTTTTCTTTTACGCCTTTTTCCCTTGTACTGCGTTACAGATGGAAGA